AATCCCACCCATCCCCATTGATGACCCCGAGGTCAGTCTACAAAGAAGATGGTAGATGGCAGCCAGCAGCTGTAAAACGAACAAACTAAAAGTTCAGCAAAGAGGTCCTCTTCATTTATGACTAGTGACTCAGTACTATAGACACACCCTAAGGAGAATGCCCCTCCATTCTTGTCTTTTTACACCAACAGACTTGGAAAATTCCTGAAAACAAAAACAGACGTGGAAATCTCCGCACAGCCTGACTTTGAAGACCAGACCTTGGATTTCTCTGATGTGGAGCAGCTGATGGGCTCTATTAACACCATTCCAGGTGCGTGTCTCACCTATGTGTGTACTTCACGGCAGGCTCAGACTACCCAGAGCACTTTTCTTTCTTGTGATGAAAACACTTAACATGAGATCTATCCTCTTAACAAATTTTAAGGTGCAAATACAATATTGTTAAGTATAGGTACTGTGTTGTACAGCACACCTCTAGAACTTGCTCATCTTGTATAACTAATCTTTGTATCCATTGAGCAACAATTCCCCATTTCCCCCTACCCATGCCCCTGGCAACCACCATTCCATTCTCGGCTTCTAAGAGTTTGACTATTTTATATACCGCATGTAAGTAGAATCATGCAGTATCTGTCCCTCTGTGACTGGCTAAAATCACTTAGCATAATGTCATCAAGGTTCATCCATGTTGTCACAAATGGTAAAACTTCCTTCTTTGTTAAGGCTGAATAATATTCCATATGTATACACACAGACACACACACACATCACTTTTTAAAATCCACCATCTATTGATGGACATTGAGGTTGTTTCCACGTCTTGGTTATTGTTATAATGCTGTAATGAACATGGGACACAGGTATATTGGAGATCTTGATAACTCATATGACAGTTGTGTACAGAAGACTGAAATCATATCAAGTATCTTTTATTATCATTACTATTTTGAGATAGGGTTTTGCTCTGTTGCCCAACCTGGAGTATAGTGGTGTGATCATGGCTTGCTGCAAACTCCAACTCCTGGGCTCAAGCAATCCTCCCACCTCAGCCTCCCAAGTAGCTAGGACTACAGGCACATGCCACTATACCCAGCCAATTTGTTCAATTTTTTTGTAAAGATGGGGTCTCACTATGTTGCCCAGGCTGTTCTTTAACTCCTGGTGTCAAGCAATCCTCCTGCTTAAGCCTCCCAAAATGCTGGGATTGCATGCCTGAGCCACTGTGCCTGACCTCAAGTATTTTTTATAACCACAATGGTATGAAACTAGAAATCAGTAACAGGAAAAAATTGGAAAATTCACAGATATGTGGAAATTACACAACACATTCCTGAGCAATCAACAGGGCAAAGAAGAAATCAAAAGGAAGGTAAAAAAATCTTGACATTAATGAAAATGAAACACAACATACCAAAATTTATGGGATGCAGCAAGAGCAGTCCAAGGGAAATTTATAGCAATAAGCACCTACATTAAGAAACATCTCAGGCCGGGCGCGGTGGCTCAAGCCTGTAATCCCAGCACTTTGGGAGGCCGAGGCGGGTGGATCACGAGGTCAAGAGATCGAGACCATCCTGGTCAACATGGTGAAACCCCGTCTCTACTAAACATACAAAAATTAGCTGGGCATGGTGGTGTGTGCCTGTAATCCCAGCTACTCAGGAGGCTGAGGCAGGAGAATTGCCTGAACCCAGGAGGTGGAGGTTGCGGTGAGCCGAGATCGCGCCATTGCACTCCAGCCTGGGTAACAAAAGCGAAACTCCGTCTCAAAAAAAAAAAAAAAAAAAAAAGAAAAAAAAGAAACATCTCAAATAAACAACCTAACTTTACACCTCCAGGAACTAGAAAAAGAACAAGCTAAGCCCAAATTTAGCAGAAAAAAGGAAATAATAAAGATTAGAGCAAACATTATAAGACATGTCATATATGACATCCCACAGCTAACATCATATTCAATGGTAAAAAGTTGAAAGCTTTCCCTCTAAGATCAGGAACAAGACGAAGATGCCCACTCTCATCATTCCAGTTCAACGTAGTGCTAGAAAATCTTGCGAGAGCAATTAGGCAAGAGAAAGACAGAAAGGCATCCAAGGTGAAAGGAAAAAGGGGGCCAAGCGTGGTGGCTCACACCTGTAATCTCAGCACTTCGGAAGGCTGAGGTGGGCACATCACAAGGTCAAGATTGAGACCATTCTGGCACACATGGTGAAACTCCGTCTCTACCAAAAATACAAAAATTAGCTGGGTGTGGTGGCACGAACCTGTAATCCCAGCTACTCGGGAAGCTGTGGCAGGAGAATGGCTTGAACCCAGGAGGCGGAGATTGCAGTGAGCCAAGATCACAGAGCTGCACTCCAGCCTGGTGACACAGCAAGACTCTGTCTCAAAAAAGAAAAAAGATTTAGAAACAATTTTTTTTTTCTAACTTCCTATTTTTGTCTTTATGGCTCATAAGTGAGAACAGAGGCTGACCTCTCTGAGATAAGTACCTACCCTCACTCTCCAGGTTGCCAGCATCTGACGTTAGGTCTTGAAATATTTTCTGTTTATAGCCTGTACAGATTCCTAAACACCTACCTTCCTGTCTAATTTATACCAAGCAAGAAGCTCAAATTTTAACTCCTTAAACGTATTTATGTTCCTCGTGGGTGTCTGTTTTTAGCACAATGGTTAAGAGATGGACTTTGGAATTCTATGAACCTAGTGAGAATCCCAACTCTACCACTTCCTAGCAGTGTGACCCTGGACAATTCACCTAACTTCTCTGAGTCTTGGTTTCTTAATCTGTAAAAATGGACATTATAATACCTCATAGGAATATGGTGAGAATTAAGTGAGATAACTTATGTACAACATAGTACATGGTGCCAAGTAACTCTTTAAAGTGTTATTGTGGGCCAGGCGTGCTGGCTCATGCCAGTAATCCCAGCACTTTGGGAGGATGAGGTGGGCAGACTGCTTGAGCCCAGGAGTTTCAGACCAGCCTATGCAACATAACAAGACCCTGTCGCCACACACACAAAAAATCTTAAATCTTAAAAATCTACAGGTGCAGGCCGGGCGCAGTGGCTCAAGCCTGTAATCCCAGCACTTTGGGAGGTCGAGGCAGGTGGATCACGAGGTCGAGAGATCGAGACCATCCTGGTCAACATGGTGAAACCCCGTCTCTACTAAAAATACAAAAAATTAGCTGGGCATGGTGGTGCGTGCCTGTAATCCCAGCTACTCAGGAGGCTGAGGCAGGAGAATTGCCTGAACCCAGGAGGCGGAGGTTGCGGTGAGCCGAGATCGCGCCATTGCACTCCAGCCTGGGTAACAAGAGTGAAACTCCGTCTCAAAAAAAAAAAAAAAAAAATCTACAGGTACACACTGGTGTGGCAATGTGCACCTGTAGCCCCAACTACTTGGGAGACTGAGGTGGAAGGATTACTTGATCCCAAGGGAGACTGAGGTGGGAGAATTGCTTGAGCCCAAGAGTTTGAGGCTGCAGTGAGCTATGATTACCCCACTGCACTCCAGCCTGGGTGACAGAGTGATAACCTGTCTCAAAAAAAAAAAAAAAGAAAAGAAAAGAAATAAGCCAGGTGCAATGGCTCACACCTGTAATCCCAGAACTTTGGGAGGCCAAGGCAGGCAGATCACAAGGTCAGGAGTTCAAGATCAGCCTGACCAACATGGTGAAACCTCATCTCTATTAAAAATACAAAAAATTAGCTGGGTGTGGTGGTGCGCGCCTGTAATCCCAGCTACTCAAGAGGCTGAGGCAGGAGAATCACTTGAACCTGGCAGGTGGAGGTTGTAGTGAGCCAAGATCATGCCACTGCACTCCAGCCTGGGTGACAGAGCAAGACTCCATTTCAAAAAAAAAAAAAGAAAAAGAAAAGAAATAAATAAAATATTATTGTAATTAGTTATTTATAAGAATAGTCTGTAATTTCTCTTTTTCCAACTGCTTACTCTCCCTCTCTCACCAACACTGAACAATATAATTGTAAACAATGTTTTGTATAGCATTTTAGGTTGTTCCTTGCATAGTATTTTTGTTATAAAAATCGAGTCATTCTGTTTTGTAATCTGCTTTTTTTTAGCAAAACAATTTTGATAGATATTTTCTCACCCTGATAAATTCTCCTACAACATCACTTTAGTGGCTACATACCTTCATTTGTTTATTTAATCCTTAATTGTTGGATACTGGGGTGTTTCTAATTGTTTTTACTATTATAAACCATACTGTAATGCAAATCTTCTTTTTTTTTTTTTTGAAGTAAAGGTCTTTCAGTTTATTGCTTAAGAAACAACAGATTAAAGAAAACTTTTAGCCGGGAGCGGTGGCTCAAGCCTGTAATCCCAGCACTTTGGGAGGCCGAGGCGGGTGGATCACAAGGTCAAGAGATCGAGACCATCCTGGTCAACATGGTGAAACCCCGTCTCTACTAAAAATACAAAAAATCAGCTGGGCATGGTGGCACGTGCCTGTAATCCCAGCTACTCAGGAGGCTGAGGCAGGAGAATTGCCTGAACCCAGGAGGCGGAGGTTGCGGTGAGCTGAGATCACGCCATTGCACTCCAGCCTGGGTAACAAGAGCGAAACTCCGTCTCAAAAAAAAAAAAAATTAAAAAAAGAAAACTTTTAGTTTTATTCTCTGATTTTACAGATTCAGATGATTATTCCTATAGTTTATACAAATAATTCACTTTATAAGCACGCCAAATTTATAAAGCTAACCACAAAAGTTGCCTGTATATTTTTTCTATACCTAGTTTCTCGCAAATTCTACAACCTGACTTAAGGGATAATTAACGGGGGATACAGGGTATTACTAGACATGAAAGCAGGTCCTATCTGTAGAAAGCTGCAGGTGAATATACCAAAAGAAGTCAGTTGAAGAAATCTGTGATTCTAGTAGTAATACCATATCACTTAGGACCATCAGAAAAATGTGTACCTTTCTCCAAATGACAATTGATGCCCTTCTTTATGTAAGCTTTTCACATGTTTTGGTACATATTCCACTGCATTTCAATAAATATGTTAATGTATTATCAGTAAATAGAGGAATTCTATATAAAACTATTCTCAGTTTCATAATTGCTTCCTATATATTTCCTTGGAAAATAGTGAAATTACATATGACAAGGCAACCGATCAAATTTAAAGGGATTTTGTAGATAAAATTCATTTATGGCCATTAAGTTTTGGCTGGGGCAGGAGGTCAAAACATCAAAGTCTCACTAGCGATTTTTAAAATATACTCTTAATTCATTTTGAGTTACTTAAAATTAACTTCTATTTGCAAAACACTATTTCAATCACTGACTTAGATGTGACAAATTTATAATAATTTTTCAAAGTTCTTAGGGATGTTTGAGACCTGGCTTTCACAGCACAGAAAAATAATTTCTGTAGCTAGATAGTAAATTCAGTTTTTTCAGTCATTTATAGTTAACGAAAATCTGCCTTTTAAATTCTGCTTGTGAGCCATTCCAAGTATAAAAACAATCTAACAAAACAAAGTTAAGAAAGTATTGCCATAACCTTTTTCACCAAATTTAGAACAACAGAAAAATTTAATAGACTTTTTGACTCAAACATAGTGATATGTATTAAGATTTAGCTGTATTTTATATGTTTGCTATGGTTGTACGATATCTTATTTCTAAGAATCATTTTGAAATTCAGAGGGCATTGATTTCTGATACATTTTACTGGAGAATGTGGCACATTTACCACATATACAGTATAAAAACTAAATGTGTGTAACACACAGATTGTGCTCATGTCATATTTCTAAAACAAATATTTTTCCTAACTTTCAAGATTTTTTTATAAGTTTCAAAGTTTAGCTTGTTTCAAAGCAATCTCCAAATAAGTTTTTTGAAAACTGTAAATTTTAAAAGGTTTAAAATAACAGTTTTCGTATAACTTAAGGTAACAAGACCTTCTTTGACTTACAGACTAATCCTAAAATGAATGGAAGACTTAACAAAACTGCAAAATACAAGACATCTTGTATTTCTAATCTTAATGAACTCATATAAAAAACAATAATCCCATTTCCCTGATTACTACAGGATTTAAAATAAAATACCCTTAACCAATTAATTTTGGTTAGCATAGTTATCTTCTATACTGCATTTATTCTATTTTATGCATATAGTTTGGAAATGTGAACAGTAACTAACAGTTTTAATCTACAACTGTTTTGAGACTTTTGAAATCCATAAAATATCTGATGTTATGTGCTCTAAAAATCCTAATATTTAAACTCATCATAACCCTCTGCATGCCACAACGACATATACATAAGGCCAATTTAAAAAGAGAAATAATGCACTTGTTAAACAACAGCAACAGTGTAATGATACATGAAATGGGCTATACAATGACATTTCATGAAGCAGCACCTGCTTGTCACAAGGCATCCTGAAAGAAAATTAACCTTACTTACACATTAATTTTATCGGAAGTAAATGTGATCAGCTGCCAACATTTTGAATGGTTGGGAATCTAACTTCAGTTCAAGAGGTCACATACATTTTCAATCTGGAGGGCTAACGTGCCTTCCTTGTGCAACTGGTAGACTACACAGGCAGATGCTTAGAATGTCTACAATTATGTTGGGGTCTAATGTTACAGAATAATTGGAATTCTTCGCAAAAGGACTTGCACACTCAAGAATGAACTTTTTTTCACATGAAAAGCTTATACCAAGAACAAGACAGTGGCTCAAAAACCACTTTTCTAAATATATTTCCATACGAAATAATTTCAAGATATAATTATTAGTTTCTTGTACAGCACGCTATTTAAACAAGAATAAAATAGTAAGTTTGTGAAATCTGCAACATCACAAAAATTGAGCCATTTTACTAGTGTAATTAAACATTAGAACGATCTTGGAACAGGCAAGCAAAATATTCAGAAGGTTTAATTATGACAGCACACCTAACAGGTTTTAACCATGACTTGCACACTTTGAGACAACGCAGATACCTTACGTGGATGGTTCAGTAGCAGAATGGCACTTGGTTTGCTCTTAATAGAAACAACATGAATGCAATTGACAATTTAGAGATAGACAATGGCCTTATTTGCATGCTGAAAATCTGGTTGTGTTCTCTAGTTGACACACCGTTAACTGTGTAATCTGTTGACCAGTAAACAAATAGTGCAGGATTCATCTCAGTGAGGTCTGGGCCCCTTCGTCTAACTGGAATCAATTCTTGGTCGATACTGCACTACCACAGGGTATGACTGATACAAAGGGCCCTCCTGAGAGCAGACTTGCGAAGCTGAGCAGTTCAAGCACCGAAAGTTTTCGTCTCTTAGTCACCATCTTGTCATGTAGATGAATTCCAATTATGATCCTTCCCCATAATTTCACCATTGCACAGCACAACCAACTCATAAGAACTTGGAAGTTTTAGTTTTAAACTTAGAAATTTTGTAATAGTTTCAACAGTTACACGTGTAGAACATCGAATGAATTTCTTCATTGAACCCTTTACTACACTGTCCCCCAACAGTCCATTATTTCATAAACAATCTAGACAGATAGCAATTTGTGGGTCACTTCTATGATAATCTTGATTTTCATTGCCTTCTTCATCTACTTTCGGTTTATCAACTTTTGAAGTAACATCTTGTCCATTTTCTTGAGGCTTTTCTTCCAAAATTCAGATTCACACTCAAGTCCTGTTCTTGTAGTCCAGGGACCAGCTTAAACATAATTTCCTCTAATGTACTGTCCAATCTCAACATTTCTAATGGCTTTGTCTCATGAGCTTGGTTGCCACACCTTGGGCAATCATTGCTATCTTCAAAGTGCTGAACAACACAAGTCTTACAGACTGTATGGAGGCATTCCGTCATTGTTGTTGGCTTGATCAGATACCCTTTACAGATATAGCAGGTAATGAAAAGATTAAAATCTTTCACCAAGTGTTTGCTTTGGGTAGCCATTCGTGGCTAGCTAGGACTGGCTTTAGTAGTTCAGGCAAAGAGAAGTCCTAAGTAGATGAAAGTCTGATCCCAGGAGCTGGCGTGGCATTCCCAGTAGGACGTCCTGAGGCATGAGAACTAGCATCCAGATTTATCATGAGATCGTTGATCAGCACTCCTTTTGGTGGTTGTGCTTTCCCACGTCCAGCAGCCACCACCACCGCCACTCCTCACCCGCCAGCGCGCTGGCCTCAGAGTGAAGTAAAGTGAAAGAGAAACAGGACCCGCCACAGCCCGGCCGGTCCCCACCGCAAATCTTTAATCATAGATCTTGGCAAACATTCTTAAAATCGCTGGGTCAAGGAGAAACCTCACTGTGCTATGAGGTCCACTGGATGGTTCTTTTCATCATCTAGGAATGGTGCTGCCCAAATGATCAGGCTTAGTCACTGGGAAGGAAAGGCCCTATTGCCCAAATCTGTGCTCAAGAAGCAGTGACATTTTTCTTCACCTTCCTGTGTCCAGGTCTCACATAAACCATCCCTTCCTGCTTGCATCTAGTGCTTCCTGAGGGGTTAAAATCTCCCAGAACCATCCAACTTCTTACGCTGCATCTCCAGGTGAAGCTGTATTTGACAGTGTCTAGCAGGGCATCTGTTATGCACTCTGGACTTTGTCATTGGGAATATACGTTCTTTGTCTTCCTCCTCACCCCTGTCACGTTAGGATCTTTCAGCCCCTGACCAGAAAGCAAAGGATAAGCCAAAGCTAAGTCAACTCCTTTAATCTCAGCTGGGCTTTTGTATGGGTTGATCAATTTCAACTTTTGAAACTAAGGATATTAAAAGCCTGGGATGGAGGGAGGTGCTGCCATGGGAGAAGAATTAGGGAGGAAAGGGCCAGGCACAGTGGCTCACACCTGTAATCCCAGCACTTTGGGAGGCAGAGGCAGGCAGATCACTTGAGGTCTGGAGTTCGAGACCAGCCTGGCCAACATGGCGAAACCCTGTCTCTACTAAAAATACAAAAATTAGCTGGGTATGGTGGCATGCGACTGTAGTTCCAGCTACTTTGGAGGCTGAGATATAAGAATCGCTTGAATCCAGGATATGGAGGCTGCAGTGAGCCAAGATCATGCCAGTGCACTCCAGCCTGGGAAACAGAGTGAGGCTTTGTCTCAAAGAGAGAGGAAAAAGAAGAATTTTAGAGGAAAAATATCACTTGTTCTTATTCTTGGTTGTGTGTGTGAGATTGTATGGGGTTGGGAGAGACAGAAGTACTCACCCTACAGAGAAGAAAAGAATTAACTTAGTAGATGAACTATAAAGAAGTTGGTTTTGAAAAGCACAACTGGGCCACCCCAATCTTCTCTCACTATAATGTGGGAGATGGTTCCTGAATGCCTCTTCTCCGCACCATTAATAAAAGCAGATCCTCCTTGTTGAAGGCTTCTTTCTCTCTGCTGAGGCAGCAGCGCTGTGATCTGGTTGTCCTGCCTCTTTAGGTGCCATGGAAGGGCCAGAGGGCCCACAACCTGGAGCAGGATTCACAATCTATTCCCCGGGCTGAATCCCCATCACCTACCCCTGCTCTCTAAGCTCATCTGCACTTGTCAAAGCAAGAATAGATATACTGGTTGTATTTTGCAGACTCATGGTTGAGAGGCTCTGTGTTCCCATCCTTGTCAACTCTGGGCTTCCTCTTTCATTCTCAAAGGGTGTGGATTCATTGGGGGGGATCAATGGTCATGGGAAAGGGGCCACTGTCACCTCACACCTCTATTAGAGGCTTTTATTTTTTTTCTTTTCTTTTCCTAGCTCCTTCTGCTCCAGTCATAAACCCGCAAGCCCCTAACTCAGCCACAGGTTCCTCAGTCCGAGTGTGCTGGAGCTTATACTCCGATGACACCGTGGAGAGCTATCAGCTGTTCTACCGGCCAGTGCAGGACAGCTCACCTGGGAAGGACCAAGCAGGTGAGGCTCTGCCAGGAACATGCTCATGCTCATGGGAACGGTTCAGGCCCCACAGGGGCCTGGGCCCTGTCTTCCTGGCAGTTGGGACGGTGGAGACAGGGTTGGTCTATACATGCCAAGGATGGGATGCAGGCAGGTAGGCAGGCAGAAAGGGCTAGCAAGGCATCCTGGGCCCTGACGGGAGGACAGCGAGGCCAGGCAAAGGGGGCTGGAGTGTACCTACAGCCATTGAGTCAGAGTTGTCCCTGAGACCAGTCTCTGGCTACACCGTGTGCAGGAGGGGCCAGGGACACCCCTTGTCAAGGAGGCCCCGCTGGGCTGGCTGGATTCTAACTTGTCCTGGCAGCTGAGGGTCAGGATGGCTCCTCTCACAGCAGCCTTGTGCTGCAGGAGAAACTGGAGGATTTGTCTGCAGACCCCATGATGTCACCTGGAAGGGCTCCTGCTGACCAGCTCCACATTCCCAGGTGTGATGACCAGCTCCTGGGATGGCCCCCAGCCTCCGCTGTGAGCAGCTCTTGGCCAACATCCTTTTCCCTGGAAATGGGACTGGCTGGTGTGAGGTTACAGCTGGGGTAGGGCCACACCCTAATCAATAAGCTGTTCTCTTTTAAGGAGGGAGGGTCAGACAGCAGAAGAGCCCCAGCTGAGTATCTGAAGATTTCAAGGGATCAGGGCCAGCCTGACAGCACCTGTCCTGTGCATGTGGGGTCAGAATGGGATTGCTGGAAAGACACTTACAGATCTCCATTTTATGGATGAGGAAACTGAGACTCAGAGGGAAAGGAGCAGTCCATGAGGACATAGTGAGTTACGGCAGAATGAGCGTGTGAATCAGGTGGGTAGGCATCCTGCCCCAAGTTCCACTCATTGTACCCAACCATGCAGATGGAGGGCTGAGTTCCAGAAGCTGAGGATGGTGTTTCTGCCCAGGAAAGAAGGGGAATTCTTGGGAAAAGTAAGAGTAAATTTAAGCGATGATGAGGGAGGGTGAGGGTGGTCAGCATAAGGACTAAAGAGGACATGGAGTGAGGTGAGGCGCTTTGAAAAGGGAGGCTGGGGACTAGCAAGTCAGACTTCATTAATCCCAGCTTTTGCCACAAATCAACCCTGCCAGCATCCCCTGCAGATACACAGAAGCCATTGCACTCGGGCTGTGTTATGGCAATCTATCAGATCTTTTAAACTGACCATTTTGCTATAAAGGAACTGACATCTGAAGGTAAATTAAGGAGTTATCTATCACTGCCTTTCAAGATTCTGGGGAAGTCTGGAGTTGTGTCAGTTTTTGCTGCAAAACCAATCCTCCTCCGCACCCCCTACAACTTAGTGGCTTAAAATAACATTTATTATTTCTTATAATTCTGTGCAATGACCAAACCAATGCACAGAAATAGAAGACCACCCCTACTCAAGGTGGTTCACAACAGAACCACCCCTACCTTGGGTAGAGGTGGTTGGTCTAGGATGGCCTCATTTACTGTTGCCTCAGGTAGGATGGCCAGGACTTGGGCGGCTGGGGTGTCTCTCCCTGTGGTCTCACATCCTCCAGGAGGCTGGCTTGGCCTTGCTGACATGGTAGCGGAAGCATCCCCAGCAGCAAGAGGGCAAGCCCCTGTGCACCAGCACTTCCCATACCTCTGTTTGCATCGTTTGCCATTGGCCGATTGACCAAAGCTAGTCACATAGCTAAGCCCGGTTTCAAGGGGCAGAGAGAAGGAAGAAAGCTCTGAATGCAAGGAGCAGCCAAGTCATGCTGCAGAGGGAGTGCATACCGGGATGGGAGGAATTTACAGCTAGGTTTGTAATCTACTGCAGTGCGATTTGGCATAATGAACTTGAGGCCACTTGGCCAGTTTTCAGGGTTGAATTATTATCTCTTTTGTTCCCTCAGAGTTTACAGTGACCATCAAAGAAACGTACTGCTCAGTGACAGACCTTGTGCCAAATACCCAGTATGAATTTTGGGTCACAGCTCACAACAGGGCTGGCCCGAGCCCCTCCAGCGAGCGTGCAGTGTATGTGACAGGTAATGGGCTACTCATTGCCTATAGCAGGGCTTTCATTCTAGGGGACACAGGAGTCATGGGTTTCTACACATGGCAGCCTGCTTGATTTCATTTGGAAGGGTGGGAAGAGCTGTGTATATTTTTTTCTTTTATTTAATACACCAAATCTACATGCCTAGTTTGACAGCGACATTTTCTTTTCCCTTTTTTTAAGAGACGGAGTTCTACCTAGGCTGGAGTGCAGTGGTGTGATCTCAGCTCACTGCAACCTCTGCCTCCCAGGTTCAAGTGATTCTCCTGCCTCAGCCTCCCAAGTAGCTGGGATTACAGGCATCTGTCACCACACCTGGCTGATATATATATATATATTTTTTTTAAGTAGAGACGGTGTTTCACCATGTTGGCCAGGCTAGTCTCGAATTCCTGACCTCAAGTGGTCCACCTGCCTTGGCCTCCCAAAGTGCTGGGATTACAGGTGTGAGCCACCATGCCCAACCGACAGTGACCTTTTCTGATGGTTGGTCTCAAAATATAAAAAACTCCTATTCTCGGTCACACTGACATTTGAACCTTGCAACCATCTTCTACTCCAGAAACATCTGGAAGGGATTTCCTGGTTTGCTTATCGCACTTAATTTCTTTTGTGGGAGGAAGAAGGTGGCTGTGATGTTTGTCCTTGGCTCTGAACCAAATGGCTGGAAATGAACACAGCAGTGGTTCATCTCTCCCTTTCTCCCACATTTAGCGCCTTCTCCCCCCATTATAAAAACCAAAGAGATAAGGAGCTGTGAAGAGGCTGTGCTCATTTGCTGGGAGTCTGGGAACCTGAATCCTGTGGACTCATACACTGTGGAGCTGACCCAGGCTGAAAGTCCAGAAGCCTCAGGCGTAACTGAGTGAGTCATAAGGGCATTTGTGGGGCATGAGAGCCCTGACACCTGACACAATGACGTGGCTTAGGAAGTATATGTAGTCTGGAGAGAAGGTTGGCATTTTGATACAAGGAATCTCAATTTTTGCTTGCTTAGTCTTCACGAGAAGCAGCTGGAATGCTGTTACTCCAGGTAAATGATGTATGAATAAGTTGGCTGAACCTCAGGTTTTGTTGTTTTTTAGCTCAAGCAAGGTTTCCCATTTATTCATTCAACAAGCATTGAGTGCCTGGGTGGTGCCAGGTCCTGGGCAAGGCACTGGAAACTAGATGGACAAACGTCCTGCCCTAATGGGGCTGACAGCCTGGTGGGGAAATAGACAAAAGGCAAGAAAACTAACCAATGTGTAAAATATGCAGTGCTAGGAAGGAAAAAGAAGTGTAATAAAACAGAGAATGGTGCTGGAGGTGAGGATCCGCTTTGGATAAAGAACATGTTTAAACTGAGACCTGAACAGACGGGAAAGACTGAGCCCCAAAAAACAGCGAATGCAGGGGTGCTCCGGGGTGAGGGGGCTGTATGGACACAAGCCCTGGGCAGCAGTGAGCTTCATCTGCTGGAGGAACTAAAAGACCCACCTAGCTGGAATTCAGAGAGGAGAGAGTAAAAGCCATAAGGTGAAAACAAGAGACTGGAGCTCAATGTACAAAGAACGTTTCACCTACCATAGAAGACTGTCTGGAAGCTCATGCTCACCCCTCATTCTCAGAGAGCTGGAGGGGTTCACAAATTGATAAGGGTTGGGCTCAGTGACCACAAGAGCTCAAAGAACCTATGAGTTTACAGCAGCCTACGATGGAGGAAGCATGGATTTACCTCTGGTTT